CATCCAGCTCTGAGTCTGACACCACCACCGGAATGGAAGCCGACACCGAAGAGTCGGTGACTTCGGAGGAGGAGGCCGACAAGGCCGACGGCACTAAGAAGGAAAAGTGGGTCGCGGTCAAGTCGCAGACACCCGCTGCCGCAGAGACCCAGCCTGAAACGACGACCACCGAAGAGGCCACGCTTCCATAACGTCGCTTCCTGCGTCGAAATTTGGACTGGACTGACTGCTCACTCCACGCTCTTCCTCCCAGCTTGGGATCCCGCCGCTATATCTGTCGCTATCTACATCTACTACTGGTTCCCCTGTCCGCGTTTGGTCGTTTTCCTGCCTGTGTGATATGTTAGACGGAATGGCATGCTTTTGTGGATTTTAGTCCACTCCCATCCTCTTACTGTGTGAATCTGAGTGTGAATATTTCGGGCGCTTCAGGAAATTTCTTTCACTCTTGAAACGATATTATCTCGAGAACGGAAAGCGATTCATGATACTATCTAAGGGATCCAATTGAACTAGCGTATATGTATATTAAAGCGTGAATGAAATGCGTGAAATGGCGTGGAGGCTCGCATAGGTAATTTTATGTCGGCTTCACATTAACATCGGACAGAGTTTTGAACGCCTCTTTGTACGCATCGAGGAGCGACTTGACCCGTGCCCGCTCCGCCACCAGCCCCTCATCCTCGTGAAGCATGTCCTGGAACAGTTCGGGCTTGTAAAGCGACGCGACGAGCCGGTTCTGTACATGGTACGACGTGTGGTTGACGAGGAAGTGCATGATGGCCTTGGGTATGAGGTCCTGGATGCTCTGGCGGACGATCCCAAAGTACGACGCGATGAGGGACCGGATGAGCGACGTCTCCATCTCCTCTCGGAGGGTGAGGTGGCTTCCGTCGGATGGAATCTGCAAATACGCACGCACACGGTCAGTCAAGTCTTTGAAAACAAAGCAAGATCCTTACAGCTTCGATATGCTTTCCAAGGCTCTTCATATCGTACGCGGCATTGCTCCCGTCCCGCTGCCCCGCCAATCCAGACGCGATCGTTATAGCATTAGAGTTATCTCCACCCGAGACATCGCGTCCAACAGGCACGACGCTCTGCCCGCTCCCACTCCCACTCGGCCGCGTCTGGTGCCCCACATGCCCCACATTCGACCCCTGGATGGGCCCCGGCCCATTCTGCCCAAAGAAGTAATTCAAGAACGTTTCCCGCGCCGACGGCGGTGAACCGCGGTGGGTCTGCGCCATGGCAGAATGGGGTCGCTGGCTCGGGATTTTTCTTGCGGGCACGGTGACGGTGTTGTTGGACGAAGGCGCAGATCCGGTCGATGTCCGGGCGCGGTCGTGTATTGTGGCCGATACAGAGCGGTCGTTGCCGCGCGAAGGGAAAATCCCGTTAGGAAGACCGTTCTCATCCGACGAGTCTGCGTCCTCGTCTGTCCCGGCTCCATTTGTAGGCTCGGTAGATGCAGGCTGCAAAACAGGCATTGATATAAATAAGAATGACAAGGGAGGTCAAAGGCGGCTCACTCGTAAAGGCATCTGTCGGACAGGAGGAGAGCTCGCCTGCTGCGCAGCGACCGCAGAGCCCGCAATGAAGGCAGGGTGGTTGGTATTAATATACGCCGCCTGTATTGCGATCAAGCTCTGCGCATAGTCAGATGTGGGACCCAGCCGCTCTCGTAGCAGTTCGGAAACAACTTCGATAAGTTTGGCATGCAGACCAGGGAATCGTTGCAGCTCCTGCACATAACATTCAGTCACTGACCATCTCCGAGGGAAGGAATATCTACCGTGCTCGTGCAGTTGTGGCAGATTTTCACAAGCTCCTCGTACACGAGCTCGACACAGCGCAGACTCGGCGCCTCCAGCAGCTTGATCTGGGGCTTCACCAGCAGATCAAAAGCAATCTCAGGAACGAAGAGGCTGGGACGGGGCCCCGTAGAGTTGCGAATCGCCGTCCGGATGTCTTGGTTCTCGAGGTTCTGCGTCGAGTCGATAGAGTCCAGCGCCTGCCCAAATATGTCGTTGAAGATGTAGTATATGCGCGCACCGCCGGAAAGCTCTTTCGTGGAGATGTCGACCTTTGTTCCCTCGATGGAGGAGACGAAGTCGCGTGCAAATTGGGTCATTAGGCGCAGGATGAGGGCTCCTTGCTATACTTATCTTCTTAGTATGCGGGGACGATTAAGTAGGAAACACTGCGAACCTGATTTTGGTCTCCAAAGCTGTCTGAATCGCCAAACGAGTTGAGCTCCTGCTGAGCCTGACCCATGAGGGTGTTCAGCCGCGCCTTCATGTCCGGGAGCTTGTCCCGGATGTGGTTCATGAGAACCTGCAAAACTTTAACGAAAACATCCTTCTTGAACACAAGACGACGCACCTGGTTCAAGGATTTCGCCAAGTATTTCGTCCCATTCTTGTGCGCGATATTCCGATACGCGGGGTGGCTCTTAAAAAACTCTGTCTCGCTGTTCAGCGCGGCGTCCATGCTCTTCTCCACCATGATGTCTTGCTGACTGCGATTCACGACGCCGATGAATCCGAGCTTGAGTGGGTAGACGCGGCCGGTTAAGATATCCAACGCGTTAGTACCGGCGTCCATCAAGTCGAGCTTCGTGAGGACACCGATTGTTCGCCGGCCTTGCGGGTCGACTTGACGCGCGAGCTTGAGCGACTCGGAGTTGGCCAGGTCGACATTGGCGGGGGAGACAGAAAGGATCACGCTATTGGAGCGTCAGGATCTCGTGTTGGAGCAACATGCAGAGAACACGCACCTGTTGGGTTTGGAAATATAATCCAGCACCAGGTTGCGAATTTGCCGTTCAATGTCGCTTGGTTGATCTCCTACGGGAATCTTTGAACCTCTTAGTACTTTGCATAGTGAAATTTGTAGACACGCACTTTGGTCAACCCTGGTAAATCGACGAGCGTCAAGTCCAGCACGTCCGGGCTGTAAATCCGCAAGGATATAGGCAGCTTGCTGACTCCCTTGTTCTGCCCCGCGACCCGAAACGTCTCCTGCTCAATCTCCTTGCGAATATCGCCAAAGTCGGTGAACTTTTTGTCAATGTGGAGGAATTGGGCCCATTCACGAAACGTTGGGCTGCTGGGTGAGGGATCGCTGGATTCGGGTGTGTGTATGAGCTGGAGGACGAGAGGCCGACGCGTCACGATGCCCTGGCCACGGGGAAGAAAGTCCCGTCCAACGATGCTACGGCGCGGAAACAGATGAGCGAGTGGCGGGAACGAATTACCTGGCAACTCACGTCTCGAGTACACTGGACTTTCCTGCTGATTGACTGCCCACCTGGGAGCTCGTAAGTCACAGAGACCTTGGTACGGGCTCGATCCTACGCACAACGACAAGTTGGGGCATGTCCAGCTCGCCTCCTACCATAAAAACATTGAATATTTTATCCCGATGGACATAGCAACTGGGCGACCGCACCAAGGTTATTGAAGGTGTCCTGGAGCTTGTTCACAAGCTTGATTAAGTCGGTGTCCATTTTGCGGTTCTAGGTATATGTTGCGGTTCAGGACAAAAGGTGCCGCGAGAAACGCGTAAAGTGGCTGAGGCTGTCAACGCGTCGTCACGGCACAATCGCAGATTTGGCCTTGTTGCTCCAACAGATCGCAAACACCTCGTATTTTACAAGATCTGAATTTACTCTTCATCTTTATCTACCCATGTACCTTGCATTATCTACCCAATAGCCTGGCCAGTCTCTGTATTTTACATGGAATTCAAGAACCGTAGCAAGTCTCGTCGATTAGCGTCGCGCTCCTCGTCACCTTTTTCCTTTTTGACCTTGAGTTTAATCTGTTGAAAGGAATAAGCATTTGAGTCGTGTGCCAACTGCTTCGCAGTTCTTTACCTTTTTCCCGGTCAATACGCTCCTTCTCTCTTCCTTGTCCTTTTCCCTGGAGCGTTCTCGTTCCTTTCTCCGCTTTCGTCGCTTTCGATCCTCCTCCGAGTCCTCGTCGTCATCCTCATCCTCGTGCCGGCTCCTTCGTTTGCTGCGTTTCCGGTCGTGGGACGAAGAGCCTCCGTCGTGGTCCCTGTCCTTGTCGCGAGCATACTCGTCTTTATCCTAATAATTGTCGAAAGAGATCATGGTTTACATAACAGCACCTTGCGAGGTCAAAACCCATTATTTCCATACGAGTTTGAGTACAGACGTACCACTGCAGAGTCACGGCGGTGGCGGCGTTCCCGGCTGGGGCTCCTGCTCACAGTGCGATCGTGGCGGCGCTACATGTGCCGCTAAGAATATAGTGCAGCCTACTCGGATATTAAAAGACACTGACGGAGTCGTCTCTGTCCTCCCTTTCTCGACGCGGACTGGGGCTGCGACGTCGCTTGCTCTACAGTCGAAAAATACCACTTGAGTGGGGAGACGGAAAGGCAGAAGGCAGCGCGCACTGAATGTTTTTCTTCATAACGCGAGCGAGTGCCGGACTCTACACTTGAATCTCGGCGAGCCAATTTAACCTAGAGCAAAATCTAAACGCAGAAACGGCTGAACCAAACGAGAGAACGAACGTCGGGCCTTTCCGACGACCGGTGTCGTTCGCTGCGTTTGCTCGTCTCGCCATCACGAGTGTGGTGGCGAGAAGTGCGTGAACGAGACGCGGAGTCCGAGCGTCGGGACGAGCGGTGGTGATACGAGTTATCTTCGAGATGTCTCTCAGAAGCCGGCGAAGAATCTTTCATCCCGAATCGAAGCCATTGGATATGCCAAGGTGCGCGGAGAGTGAGGTGTCAGAAGAATATATAAATGAGTCCCGTTGACTTGAATTTCGTGGGTCGAGGTATCTCACCAACTCGAGAGGTTGAGGGTTCTTTCTCCTTAGGAGGCTGGTCCCACCTCGACGAATATCCCATCGGAGTAGGTGGTGGTTACGAATTGAAACTAACCACCTTGATCCCGGGTTCCTTTCGTCGGTCTCGGGAGGTCCACTCTATATAGGTCATTAACTTTAGGACACTTCGAGTCTCGACTAGTATATCGGTTTAGTACACGCGCCTGTCATGTTGATTGTAATGTAATTTGACCGCGCGAAAGCTGGGTTCGACTCCCAGGTCGAGAGTTCGGTTTTCTTGTGGTTTTTTTTGCCTCATCCTCAACTGGAAATTACCCCAGTGGTACAGTGCCTCTTTTCCAGAGGACTTGCTCGACAACGACCCTTTCTTTTCCTTGGCTTTTCTCCTTATCTATTGCGCGCAAAAAACGAACGACCTCAGACATGGGTGTGATTTTAAGGATTTCTTTGACAATGACATTAATTTAATATCATTCAAGGGAACTATAAACTGGGAAAACTATAACTGGCCCCCTTCCCGCGCCTGCGCGAGCAAAGCCTCTGCAAAATCTTGAAAATCGCTCTTTCGACACGATCGGCTAGGCTGTTTCCCCTTGCAATGAGTCCCCGATGTCGCCTCACAGGCAGCTCACACGTACCTTGAAAGCATAAATAACCGTTTGTGGCGCAGCCGTCGCCGAACCCGACTCCCACTTGTCCTCGAGCTCCTTCAGCGCGACGCGGAGGACGTTTTCCTGGGCGTCAAAGGTGCAGCGCACGGTGGGCTGCATGCGCACGTTCATGGATACCTTCCATAGCGGCTCCCGACGGAAAACTACATACATCCCTGGTCAACAAAGGCCACAAGAAAGGAGGAATGTGAGGAAGGACGAACGTAATCGTTTTGAGAGGCTCGTCTTGTGCGACAGGAGCTTGATGTGGCCGACCATGCCGCCGGAGAAGTTAGCCTCGCCGCGCTTGACGTAGAGCTTGACGCCCTTGAGCTCCAGCGTAACATCCTCCTCCTCTTCGCCCGTTGAGACTGTTGGTGTTTAGTCGCATGCAGGGGAGGTCCTTCAAAGCACTGACGGGTCTGTATCGAAAGGGTCGGCGGCGTCTTGGCCGCTGCGAGAGCAGGCTCTGACTCAGATTCACCCTCCGCCTTGTCTTCAGTGGTGCTCAGCCAAATTGGTTTCGCAGCACTGTACGGGCTGGGCGAGAAGAATGGGGACGAGGAGCCGGCAAAGTTGGCGAATCCTGGAGAGGCGGTGGTGCTGCGCTGAAGGTGAGGGGCGTCAGTTTATTACGACGGTCGTATGGAAGCTGGACTGACGGTTGAAGGGAAGTGCGTCATGCGCGGAGGGGTTTTGGGGAATATGAAGCGGGGGACTTCGGTGAATATGGGTTCGGGTTTGGGCGCCTCTGGGGGTACACTTTCTTCGAGCTTCAGGACCAGAACCGGGTCGGCAGACGGGGTGGCCACTGGAAGTGGCTTATCGGTGATTGCAGAGTCGCAGAGCTGAACGACGATTTCCTTCTACCGACCGGTCAGAGACACGATTTGTTACGGTAAGGGATACGAACGGTGGCTTCAGAGGGTTCCTCATCCGAGACAGAACCACTCCGACGTTTTCTGGGTGGGTAGATCGATTTGAGATTCTGATGAAAGTGAGCCGAAGTGTGGGTCCTCGGGAAGCCAACGAACATTCGGATATGCCATTTCCTAGAGACTGGCATGTTAACGCCAAAATGAATTTTGAATTCAGCCGACGTACGGGATCGACTTCCTCCTGCTCGGGTGTGCGCTTGCGTTTCAGCGAGCTATTTTCGGCGAGGACGGTGGGTGCGGCCTCTGGTACTATCGCTGCGGTTTCTGATACTGTAATACTCTCTGCGCTGTAATCAAGGTCGGGCATTGATTTTTCGGGGATTGTGTTGGGCGATGCTTCTGGAGCCTGGTCGGGCAGAGGATTCTCTTTGTTCGCATCGGATTCATCCATGGACTTTTCGGGGACGACAATGGTCGACGAAGAATCCAAGATAGACTGGTCCGCCAGCGCATGCTGTGAGACAGCCCGTCTACCGACATTGAGTAAGTTTCTTTTGAAAGTCTTCCGCAAAGCGTTGCATACGACGGAAGGGGGCGAGCTTTGCGAGTGTAGGCATAGCCGACGGTCGCTGCGAGCGTCGCGAATCCACAGACGACGACGTTGAAGGAGTCTGCGACCGGAATCATAGCTTTAAAGTTTTGGTAGCAGGTATACAAGAGAGAGCTCGGCGCCGTAGTGATTTTGCGACGATGGTACGATCAAGGTGGGGGAAGCTGGGAGGGGCGGTTGATCGAGCCAGATACTTGAGAAAGCCTTTTAAAGCAGGATAAGGATGCGCACGCGCGAGGTGCGTGATGGGGTAGTACCGGTTAGTAGCCTCGAGGATTCAGATCCAGAAACACGCGGCGTTGGACAGTTCAGACAGACAGAAGCGCATTCCATGGCATTGCAGAAACGTTGGGAAGATACCCTTCGTTGGAGTTGACCAGGACTCGTTCTCGTAGCCAAGATATATCGCTCGTCTTGAATCTTGATTGAAAAGTCTTCCTTTCCGCGAGGAGTTCGATTCGAAGTCTGATATTTTTAGCGGGTGGATATTAAGATGCAGTCCGTATCACTGCGGCCACATTGAGTCAGTCGTGTCTTCATTGCGTTCCTCGCGATCGCGCTGCCCGCTGTGGGGTGGGATCAAAAGCCTAGTAGAGTCACACACACGAGACACGGTCACGGACGTCACGAACGCGTATACTGAAATTCTTCCTCTGCAATCTCCGGCGACTGTGAGCTTCACATCGGCTTCTACCACGCCTGCGGTACCGGATACGCGTCGCTCGTCTACGGAAATTCGGGAGACAACCACTGATTCCGCTTTGGACTGCCGGTATGTAACCCGCGGGAAGTGACTGACGTGTCCCCGGGTTTCGGATTGGTGATTGGTAGCCGAGTATTAATATCAGTGTCTCTCACTCGCACTTTTACCTCCACCATGCTCTCCTCTCGACTCTTGCTGTCGCTCGCACTGGTACCGGCGTTTGCGTCGGCGGCGGTTTTCCCGCCAGACTCGCTGGTGAAGATGCTCGATGCCAAAACCTTCAAAAAGGCCATGAAGGCTAATGTTGGTCGTTTCACTTCGTGGTTGGTATCTTGTGAATTGAAATGCATTGCAGCAAACTAGCTTGGTCGCTTTCGTTGCCCCTTGGTGTGGGGTATGACTGGATGCTTTATTGCTGGGCTCTGCTCCTCACCATGTTTTCAGCACTGTCAACGATTGGCGCCGGAATACAGCAAGGCTGCCCTCGGTCTCCACCCCCTGCTTCCCCTGTATGCTGTTGACTGCGACGACGACAAGAACAAGCGGCTGTGTGCGGAACAGGGTGTTAAGGGATTTCCTACGATCAAGGCAAATAATATACGTCCTCGCTGCCAGACGACGCTAATTTCGATACAGGTGTTCCCTCGAGGGAACCAGGTTCCGCCTATGGTTTACGAGGGTGCCGAGCGTACAGCTAGTGCTTTCTACTACTATGCGACACGTCGGATACCCTCCTCGTTCACCAAATTGTACAGGACCGAGGAGATTGTTCCGTGGATCGAGAAGGTAGGCAACAAGTATTGCTGCGGCAATAGAAGGGATTTACCGGTGTCTGCAGGAGGTCGACAAGACGCGTACGCTACTCCTGACGAAGGACAAAAAAGTACCGCTTCTCTGGAAAGTGCTCGCAAACAAATACAAGGGGCAGCTGGAATTCGGAACCCATCGTGACCGTAAAGGAAAGTCCTCTGTGGCTCTGGGATTCGAGGCAGGAGACAAGAAGGAGTCCAAGGTTCTTGTCTACTCTCCGGGATCGACCAAGCCGTTCCGTTATGAAGGTTTGTCGCCTTTCGTCGCTTCGTCGACCCGATAGATTCTAATATCATCCAGGCATCAACAAATTCGACTCTCTGAGCAAATTCTTCGACTCGGTCATCGACGGTACCGCTGATATAAACGTGATCAATGAAGAGGCGAAGGCGGAGGAGTTTGAACCGAGCGAGGAGGAGCTTGCAATCCAGCAAAAACAGGAGGCTCAGCGGATAGCCCTTCTCCATGGCGGATACTCCGACCTCATCGACTTTGAGCAGGCCGTGTTGAATGGAAACGCGGAGAATTACCACGACGTCCATGGCTTTGGCTCCCCTCCGCCGTTGAAGAAGGTTAAGGAGGGCGAAGCGGCCTCGGCTGAGACCGCAGCGAAGCCGGAGGAGACTGAAGTAGTGAAAGCGGAAACAGAAGCGGCCAAGCCGACGACAGAAGCGACACCAGCTCCAAAGGCGGTCAAGGTGGACGAGTCGCACGTCGGAAAGGACGAGGCTGAGCTGTAGTCCACGTCGGGAATTTATTCCTGTAATTTGTAGATTATTATTTTATTTTTCGTGGAAGGGAATGCCTTTGGAACCAAACAAGTGTCAAGGTCCCTTTGTCCTTACCGCAATTAAGAATTTTGTGCAGTTAAGCCTCTTGAACTGTACGCGTGAGGCACAAATGGCTCGCGGCGGCCACGCATCCCCCGTAGCGCCCGCGCCTGCGCTGCCCAAAGTCTCATTCGAGAAGATTGAAGACGATGTGTCCACCCAACCTAGCGGGGTCCACGAAGCACAGTCGCGCGGCTTCGGGTGTAAGTCCTTTGATGGTCGGGGTGGCTCGCTGGCTCACAAAAACACGTAGACAACGACTTCTCCGAATTCCACCGACCCGACCAGTACATTCGCCATATAGGTGCGGTTCTCGCTTCGGATAATTGCAGTTTGTGTACCGAACGTCGTTGCAGAACCACTCGAGATCGACCTGGAGCGGCAGGTGGAATACGATATGGACGAGCAGGGTAGGCCACTCACGCGTCTGCGCGCTTGTATGCGCGTCTTTCATCAACTTATAATGTCGGCAGATCAAGAATGGCTAGATGCAGTAAACGCAGAACGGAAGAAGGAACAGTTGGACAAAGTCACGTATGAAGTCTTCGAAGTCGTGATGGACCGACTGGAGAAAGAGTGGTTTAACCTGGTGCGTAGCGTAGCGTCCTCCTTGCGATGATTTCGTGAACATCTATTTCAAGACCAAACATATCCCGAAACCCGATTTGGCGCTCCCTTCGGAAGACTCGACATGCGCCATTTGTGATGATTCCGAGGCCGATAACAGCAATGCAATTGTATTCTGCGACGGCTGTAATCTCGCGGTTCACCAAGGTCAGTTCATGT